CTCCCAAGCTTCTTAGACATCAGTATGCCTAGTTCAGGGTTGTCCTCAAAAAATGCTGTTCACCTTTCTTGCTTCCAGGACAAAGTCCTGTCTTAGCAACATTGTATTTCTGTTTTTCCAAGTGGTAGGAAAAATACGTTGCATACAGTAAAATCTGTCTTTCATTTTTCTATATGCTCTCTTAACTCTCTTATTTGTACCCTACCTTCTGCTTTCTCATACAATAATTACCATCTCAACTTCTAATCCACGGCATAATGAAGGCTGCTGTAATCAATTAAATCATATTCTTTTTAATTAGTAAGTGTCTATATTCAAGAGATTGATTTCTGGGTCAACCACTTAACAGCGGGTTCTTACATCTCCTAATGTTCCTGAAATCATAGCTCTAAATTTTATTCTTGGTTTCATTGCTCCAGCAGTCCTAAGCACATCAACCATATGTGCCTGGAAAACTTTAAAATTAAACATCAGAAGAGTAGGGGAAAGAAAATTTCCTTTTGCTCTCAAGAAAATGCATTGTTTAATTCAGTCAAATATAAATGGAACGCTCATACTAAGCCGTTAGGATGTGCTTAATTTCTTAAAGATGTTTCTCCGTATGATGAAGTATCATTTGACCCAATAAACCAACTCTAGCCCGAGTTTGTAGATTCACGTAAAATAAACATTGCCCAATGAGCTTCCCACTTCCTTTCCTTTTGGTTTTCTGTATGAATGAATCCTTTTCAGGGGAAATGTTAAAACGATGTTTTCAGATCTCCAGACAATATAGGACCAGACCACAGAATTAAAGTATTTTCTTTGTCTTAAGATAGCTTTCTTCTCTAAGTATGAAAAAACACTTGGATCAGATCAATTGTTCCCTTCAAATTTAAGTAGAAAGAGAAATAAGTAGTTAAGCATACAGTTTACTGGTTTTGTTTTAAGAGACAAACATTTTCATCTGATCACTTTTTATGTTGATGAAGACACATTCTAAAAATTACTGTTTAGCTTACAAGGAAGGTCACAGTGTGCTTGGAGTTTATGTAAAAATGTCAGGTGAACTAATAAAATATTATTTTATGAGTTCTTGTAAAATGTCAGGTCAACTAATAAGCCATCATTTTATGAAGGCAGTGAAAGCACTGTAATTTTTAGAAAAACCTAGAAATGCATACAGCTTAGATTTTACATAGAAAGGAGAAAATCCTCCAAGTGACAAGAAAAAGTTAAAATACACTTCTCACTCCATTTTCCTGGATGGTTCCAGTCAGGGGTAGCTATGATTTTAAACAATAGCATGTATATTTTAATGTACCGGGACTAGACAAACAGCTCTTTCCTAATGATATGAGTGAGTTAAACTGCTTTGCTGCTTCTTTTGCCATGCAGCTCTTGTGTTATTGACCATGGAAATAATGAATGCTCAAATGCACCTGACAGCTTTTTTTTTTTTTGTTAGACAAAGGTCCATCACCAAGGAAAACTGCCAGGCGGTACTGCTTTGGAAAACCAAAGGGGTCCCAAAATTTTAACATTTTTCATTTATAAAAAACCTTGTTTGATATAACTAGCTCTCAAAATATTGGCCTAATTTCTAATATCATCATGCTCATGTTTCAATAATTTTACGCCTAATTTAAGTAGCTAATAAGAAGGCATGTGGGCCCCCAAAATCAAGGTATCTGGACTAAATAGATATTTTGGATATCTAAACACTGAGGTCAACTTTCTAACTAATTTGTCTTACTCTACATGATCAAACTAATGTACCCTCTTGTCTACATCAAACGTGTTTATGTTGCCATCAATTTAAAAATCATATAATGTGAAAATTATCTATAGGACTATAAATTAGATCTCATTACTTATTAATCATGACTAATAGTGTTCACTTTTTTATTAAAAAATAAACTATTGATGTCTGACTTTGGATATGAGGACCTTGGCCACTGCCTTAAAGCCTATCTTTGACTATGGCACTATACAAAACCGCACAGAAAAGATAAGAACCCCGCAGTGACAGGAACTGGGATCACTTTTTTTCTTCTCTCAGTGTTCTATACCTAAGAAAATATGGGGGTCTTCATAAAACAGGAAACTCCAGAACAACAACAAATCTCTGACTTCTGTGCCTTAGCAGACTTCCAAAGGATCAAAATTCACCATGTAGCCAGAATTTGGGTGAATCCAGCCTTTATGCACCTCCTTGCTTCCTTTCCAGGCCTGGGAAGGAGATACCTTTGGCTAGGTGGCACGACCAAACATCTCTCCTCCTCCCATCCTTACTCATGCAAGAAGAAAAGACAACTTGAATGGACAGAAGCATGATGGCCAGAATTACCTTCCCTCAGGAAAGCTTTCTGTCATCTGCCTCTCTGCCCATGCCTATTTTTTTCTTCCTCTGGTGACAGAAAGAAAGGAAATAAACCAAAAGAAAGGGTTCCTCTTGGCCATCTTAGAGCTGTCTGAGATCTGAATTGAGAGTAAGTCACCTCAGTTCCTCAGGAAAACATGATGAAAACTGGCAACACTCTTCAGGGGGTTCCAGCAAAAGCTTCCATATGAGTAAGAGATGCCTACTCCAGACTTTTGCCAGGGCTGACTAGGTCACATGCTATCAGGTTTCTGTGTTCATGAGGACCAAATGTTGCTTTAAAAGCGTCAGAGGAATGAAGAGCATGCAAAATAAGCCAGTTTAAAGCCTGGGCTTTTGCTGCGCTTTTATAATCTGCCATTTACTGAAAATATCTCCGTGTGTGAGATCTTTCCCCCTAAGAACATATGTCCTTTCTGCTTGTTCAGACTCTGATCCTAATCTCAATTATTTGATGTCATAATCTGCAGTATGGGAATGCAGAGAAATGCCTTCAAAAAAATCCCAGTGCTAATTGAGAGAAGGTGCCTTCTGGGGGTTTTCTACGTGTAATAGTTTCAGGAATGATTGAAAGAAAGCATATTAATCAATTTTGCAGATGATTTGCAGTGGGAAAAGAACATAAACCACTTAAAGGCTGGGAATAATATAGAACACAGTTTTCATAAAACAAAGGAAGAATCTAACATCACTTGGAGCACACTGGTCATTCAGATCACTTCCCATAGCTATTCAACAAACATTTCTGAAAACATTTTGAAAACCAGTATAGATGCAAGAATGAATCAATGACAAAGAAAGAAGTATACTCATGCCTTAGTCTTTGGAAGAAAGAGAGGTGTTTTCAGTATCCAATGTTATTCTCCTAAAATCCGGAAAAGACAATACAAAATTTGTGTTGTTATACTGTGTTGCTATTCTGGCAAACAGGGTGAGACAACAGGAATCTTGTATCCTGTTCAAACATATTGTATTGTAAGTGCCATTTTCTTTATGCTGATAGTAACAATGAACATCTGTAGTGTGCCTTTTAATTTCAACCCCCATAGCAAGATTTACAGTCTTCACTCTCAGAGAAGATGACTTTTTCTAATGAACTGAAAACAATTCTTCCTTATATTCACTAGCAATTCCAGCTACATATACAAGTCTCTTTCATGGAATTGTGCTAATTCTGTGTGACTGCATAAATGCATTTGCCATATATATGTTGCAAAGGTCAGTAATTTGAAGCTTTCAGCAAATTACATCAAATATCATACATTTGTAACAACATGCAAATGTTAAATACACTTGCTAATTTTGTCTGTAATCCATGAATTACTTTAGATTCTATTAGTAACATCTTGTCAAGATGCATAGAGCTGGAAGAGTCTAGGCTTAAATAAGAGCAGCACAATTGGTAAAATATGCTTTAAGAAACCATTTCAGACCTCCAGACAAATCTACCTGAATGTTTTCCCATTACCTTTTATTTACAAAATGTGTAATCCTTAACATAATTTTTTTCTAAGTTTTTAATATACCATTATCTTCTTTTTTTTTTCTGATAGCTCACATTTCAGAAATTCATAAAGAATGGCCTCTGTGATTTGACTGTAGAAAACAGAAAATGTACATTATATCGTATGGTCTTTTGATTAGTGTTCTACTGTAATCTGATGGGATAAACATAAGAATGAGACTCAAGTGGCCTCATCCTATTACAGGATCTCTAGACAAGCCATTTCATATTTTTAATTTGTAAAAAGGGAATCTGTTTGTCTCAAACAGATATTGTATGGGAGTTAATTGGTAATATCTGTACACTGCTTTGAACATCTAAAGAACAGTATGTGAATGATATGTGCTGTTTTCTCCTTCATTTGTTAGTCTAGGTCTTACACTGTTTGTTTGTCTCTTCTCTAAACTTTCCTACAGTAATTTTATATTTCTGATATTGATAAATCCAAAGTTTGTTTTTTGCTCCAGTCTTATTTAACCTAGGAAAATTCTTCTCTGAGACCATGTTGCTTTTTCTTTTATATTCCTTGTGTTATGCTGACTGCTCTTTGTTAATTTTGTATTTCTTTACAGTATTAAAAGTCAGGTGAAATCTTTGCATTATCATACTTAATCCCTTTTCTCCAGATTTCTTCTATTGTTTCTGAATCATTTATTCTTATTTCTTTTCTGATTGTTCATATAGAAGAATTTTCTGAACATACTGTACGTGGACCCATTTAAAAAAATCAGGTCAATTCTAGCTTATTCATTTACAAGACTGAGAGACTTTTGTATTCCTATTATGTAAGATGATTTTCTTATAACTTAATTATGATAAACAAGAAGGATCAGGCCAAATGAAGAAAGATGGAATGTTTTGGTTTCTAATGAATTTCACACAGACATAGCAGTTTCTCTGCTGCTGGCTTAAAACAAGGAGCACACAAGTGGTATGAACAACACTGTCAGCAGCAACCTCATTTGCTTAACCTCAGTGCATCAAAAAAAGAGAGACTAAGTTTTTTGGAATGCAAATATTATTGTGAAATGGAGAAAAAAGAGTAAAGGAAAAAATACAGGTTACACATGGCTGCTTTTAATGGAAATAGTATGATGTCGTTTCTCCCTTTCTTCATGGTTTGAAGTCAGAGATCCCCAGAGAAAAAAAATTCTGAAGTTGTAATGAAAAGGGATCATTTCAGAACACATAACAGGCAGTTCCCTCTTCTTTTATGTTCTAGGGAGAGAGAATGTTTCCATTGTATGTGGCTTTTTGATATATGACTTTGAAAAGAATACTCAATCCTTCCATGAAAAGGTTGAATATTCTTCTTTGCTTAGTTCTCATTCCTGAATTACATTGAAATCCCATTCCCTGGTTATTCATAACTTGCTAAAATTTCCCTGTGAGGCTTAAAATTGTAGCACTCTAGTCTTGTGAAGACATTTGAAAAAGAATTACCAAGCTAAAACAAATAATGCAGTACAGAATAAACAAAATATGAGACATAGCAGAGGGAGAATCAACCCCATACTTCCCTTTTTCTTTCCCTCATGGTGACTACAGAAAAATTTATGCTAGTAAAAGGTTTTGCTTACATTAAATTGTGAGGCCATTTGTTGGTGCAATGAATTTCAAGCTCAAAAAGCACTGGGGGGCTGAATTTGAGACATTCACACTATGCAATAATTGCTCCATTTAACAATTAAATCTTAAGCAGTTCTGTTACTGGATCACTCTTTTGAAGCCTGGCTTGAAAACCAGTTGAATAGTTTTATAACAGTATATAAAAGAAAACCGGAGCTTCAACAAATCCATGTTGAAGATCATTCACTGTCAGTCTTCCTGAGCTGCCAGTGCAGTGTAGTGGTTCACAGTGTGAAGAATTTCTAAGAACAATTGGACTAAAAATAGATCTCAAACAACAAAATGTGAGGCAAGCAGGAGAATATGTTTATGGAAGTAGGGCAATATTACAGAATCACAGAATCAACCAAGTTGGAAAAGACCTCTGAGATCATTGAGTCCAACCCATGACCCAACACCACCCTGTCAACTAGACTATAGCACTAAGTGCCACATCCAGTCTCCTAAATACCTCCAGGGACGGTGACTCCAGCACCTCCCTGGGCAGCCCATTCCAAAGTCTGATCACTCTCTCTGTAAAGAATTTCTTTCTAATGTCTAACCTAAACCTCCCCTGGCACAGCTTAAGACTGTACCTTCTTGTCCTACTGCTGGTTACCTGGGAGAAGAGACCGACTTCCACCTCGCTCCAATCTTCTTTCAGGCAGTTGTAGAGAGTGATGAGGGTCTCTCCTGAGCCTCCCCTTCTCCAGGTTGAACAGCCCCATCTCCCTCAGCTGCTCCTCATATGGCCTGTGCTTGAGTCCCTTTACCAGCCTTGTTGCCCTTCACTGGACACTCTCCAGCACCTCAGTGTCCTTCCTAAACTGAGGGGCCCAGAACTGGACACAGTACTCATGGTGTGGCCTAACTGGTGCCAAGTACAGGGGCAGAATCACTGCCCTGGTCCTGCTGGCCACACTGTTCCTAATACAGGCCAGGATGACATTGACCTTCTTGACCACCTTGGGCATGTTCACCTGGTTCATGTTCAGCTTCCCGTTGATTAGAATCCCCAGGTCCCTTTCTGCCTTGTCACTCTCCAGACTCTGTGCCCAGCCTGTAGTGCTGCATGGGGTTGTTGTGGCCAAAGTGCAGGACCCAGCACTTGGCCTTCTTAAACATCATACCATTGGAGTCAGCCCATTTATCCAGCCTATCCATGTATGGTAAGATCTACAAATATCAGCCAAAATTTTGAATCCTCTTTTAATTAGAAACCTTAGAAATAATTTCACATGTTAAAACTTGAAGTAAAGAGTTAGACATGGTACTCCTGCACAACTTCCAGCTGCCTGATTAGATGTTTGCTTTACAAGTGTTAAGTTCTACTAATCTGAGGAGTGTTCTGTTCACCTTGCTTGACATTAGACTAAACAAAATTTTATTCACCTAAATAGATACCCTCATATCCTTTGTAGAAAGGGTTCACCAGTTGTTTATGTGCCTTTTTCCAGATACGATGACTGTCCCTGGGAATTTTTCTTTCTGTTTACCTGCAAAGGAAGTTTGGTGATCAGTCCAGACTTAGCTATTATTTCTGTGTTAATTCATGGAAAAATCGTATCCCATTAGATCTCAGACTGGGACTTTGAATACTGCTTACAAAGCGTTCTCAAGAAATATCTAAAGAGTACGGACCTCACAAAAAAATCTGGGTATAGCTTGAACTTAATATTTCATGGCAGAGATATGTATTTCATTCACAAACGTCAGGGAGCACAGGGAGTCACTGCTGAGAAAAGTTCTAGTCCACAGGCTAGATGATTTTTATGAATACACATCTCTTTTAATGGACTTTAGTAGTTTTATGAGATTTAACTTGTCTTTTAAATCAAGTATGTATGATTTAAAGTTTTAGTTGACATGCCCAGGCAACTTACATCTGCATTAATTATTTCGGGATTTTCCAGCAGCGTTTTGTGGTATCCATTTTCCATTTCTGTAGTAAAGACAGTGACTTTTACTAAGTGAAGCACCATAGGTTTAACTCACTCAGTAGGACTTCATTCTTGGTGACCTCCTAACTTTTTAATGTGTGTGTATCAAAAAATAATAATCTCATAGTAAATAGTTTTGTAAATTCCTTTTTAGAAACACAACCCTCTCCTCTCCCACACACCCTGCAAGACCTACTGTAATTACTCTTTTGATGCAGGATTCAGCTGACCTAACACGAGACATAAAATGTTAGCACCTTGCCTAAGTTAATTGTCTATACAACTTCTAGAGGCACAGGTAACCCCATCTTAAAGTAGATGTTTTAGATAAGTGCACTGAATTATTTCCCTCAGGTGCAGATATCCCTCCCTCCAAAGGAGCAGAGCTGACCAATGTGGACAAGACACCTAATCTGAAGAGAGATCAAATGAGTCTCAACACAATGAAGTCCATATTTTGTAGGGTCTTGGCACAGAATCTATTTCATAGAGGTTTCATGGTAGATGGTAACTAACTTTAGACTTTTTTGAGAAGAGACTTTTCTACTAGAAAGACAGTCTTCCACAGAAGATAGATGATCTTTTCCTCTTTCTCTTCATTTCATTTCCATCACATAAACCCCTTTTAACGTGTTCTACTGGTTTCCAAATTGTCCAGAAAAATTGAGGAAGGGTGGTATAGACAAGGGTAGTCTGAACAGGAAGAATAGCTCAGGGAGAAGAGTCTGGGATTCAGATGGGGCTTACATGCTGTTGTGCAGTGAGTCTGGGATTCAGATGGGGCTCACATGCTGTTGTGCAGTGAGGACAACAGTGAGATGAGGGCATTTCACAGCAGAGACTGAGAATGTCTGGGCCAGAAGAATGACCCTGAGTGATGGGGAGTGACAAGACCATAGTGGGAACAACTTGGCTTATCAGCTTAGAGGGAAAAAGTAGGGCTTGTGTAGGACTACCCGTTTCCCTATATCACTTTGTACTCCAGCCACAAATACTTAAAACTCATCATTATTATATGTTTAACTCATCCCCAGACAGTAAAATGGGTGGTGGCAAGACTCCATTTAGGCTCATGTACTTCAGATCTAGATTTGTACTTTACATGATATATTTTCTGAATGGTTTCTACAACCGGTTCATTTTGGTCACTGTGGTTTGGGGATAGACTTGACCAAATTCAAATCTGTGTCACAGCCATTTTAAACACAGTTAGTCAGAGATTATAGCATTTTCAAATGGCCCATACTCATGACTAAAATCCAAAGGGCATGTACATGAAAATCTGCAGCAATCAAGTGTTTAAGCAGCATTCAACAAATCAGCTTGCAATTGGGTAATGAAAATTTGAATCAGCATGCTCTGGTAACCAATAACCATACACTGAATACCAGCTGAATTTTAAACTGAAAATGCAAAGCAGAAAAGCATAACAACTCGATTACCGACTTCCTTTCTGTAAAGAAAATATTGTTTTAAGTGAGCTGTTCTAATGATCAAGTATACCACAGGAATGTGTCAGCAATTACAGCACTCAACACAGCACGCTTCTTTCAACTTCTCTTTATCTAGCATCTCCTAAACACTGAGGTGAGATACGTCTTTTGGCCCCAGACTATATGCACAAAATAATGGTGGAAGCCCACTTTAAATAATTATTCAAAGGAATGCATATACTCAGTGTGTAATCTCCCATCTCAAGCAATATTAGGCTCAAGTAAGGATGATGAAATAAGGGACAGTGTGACCGGTTGAGGAAGATGCAGAAAGAACTGAGATGCATCATACTTTTTGAGCTAAGACTTGAAGCTTGTGACTAGGTAACAGGAATCTGTTCTGAATGTACCTGCCCCATAGGCAAGATTGATATCTGCTTCCCTAAGCATGAGGGTTTGAGCCAGGGGTCTGATTATTCCACATGTGGTCAGAGATAGAACAGAGCTGCAGGAAGAGACGAGGAGGAGCAAGATAAGTACAGCTTCCAGGGGATGCTAGAAGTGAAGGCAGAAATAGTCAGTGTTGTCTCAGCAGAAACTGCCTTGCTCTTCAGCACCATCTTACATCCTGTTTTTCCATGGCTCTGACAGTGGCAAAGTCTTGCTGCCTTGTTGCAAGCAAGATTTGTAGCAACTGTTTTGAAGTGTATAGTGAAGTTGGGCTAAGCAGGATGATTTGAAGAGAGCAGAAATGAAAAAGGAAGAGATAATTTCTTAGGAACAAAATACTCAGGGGCACCTTGTTAGCACGTTGCCTGATAAATGGTGCAACTTAGTGCCAGGCTGAATCCCGAGCACCTGCACATGCAGGTACTTCACCTTTGTAAGCCCAGTTGGAGTGCTAGAGAACATCATTGTTCTAAGTTCAGTGACTGCAGCTTCAGCAGTTGCAGAGCAGAAATTACCTTCTATAGCAATTATTTGGTGGGTTTATGACAAGTTGAATTGGAAATTTGGAATGAATCACTTGCAACCTAATTAGGATTGGAAGCCAGTTTCAGTTAGGGGTTGTGTGTCATCTACTGTATCTATTATGTAATTGCTTAGGAATTTCCATAGTACATCTGTCTTCATAATTTACTGGATAGCCTAGTAGTCCACTGACCATACTTATGAATTTTTTTAATATAACACAACTTTGTTGAAAGGTTGCCCAGCTATCAAAAGACCGAGACACTTTAAAATGATAGTTGGGATACTTGAACAGCACTAACTTCAGGTTCTGAGTCAACCAAATAATTTTTTTCCTAAAGGTGGGGATACAAAAGAAAATACTTGAACTCCACCTAAGGCAACAAGAAAATCCTGTGCAAATGCTGTTATATAAAGGACATTGCTACTACTTGCATCTCATATTTCATGCCTTTATGAAACCTAACAGTGTGCATGATTCTTGACACGAGAGGATTTTAACACCTCTCGCTTGCAGGCGAGAGAACAACAAATGGCAGGAGTAGATATGCCATTGTAGCAACTGTGAACTGTGGGTATTTCAGATTTTTACCACAATATTGCTGGAGTGCTGGAAATTGTTCCAAATTACATTGCTAGCTCAGGAAGGAAAGAAAGAAGAAAAGAAGGAAGGAAAGAAGAAAAGAAAGAAAGAAAGAAGGAAGGAAAGGAGGAAAGAAAGAAGGAAAGAAGGAAAGAAAGAAGGAAAGAAGGAAGGAAAGGAGGAAAGAAAGAAAGAGAGAGAGAAAGAAAAAGAGAGAGAAAGAAAGAAAGAGAAAAAGGAGGGAAGAGAGAGAAAGAAAGAAAGAGAGACAGAAAGAAAGAAAAAAGAAAGAAAAAAAAGAAAGAAAGAAAGAAAAAGAAAGAAGCCTCAGAACTGTTCTTTCACTTTTCAAATGATCTTTCAAAAGGTATCAAGATGTATTGAACCCTAAGGCAACAGCCTAAAAGTTCATCTAAGTTGTATGTGGAGAAAAGAGGAATAGTACGACAGGTTTCAACCGTGATTTCCAATAATATGAATGGAAACTCATTCTGGCAGACTTCCATCTACTTAATGAAAAACTTGTTGAAGAGGAAAAAAAACTCTTAAAAGAGACTGACAGAAGATTAGCAAGAACTAGCATGAACATGATTACAGCACTTGTATATCTGTCATTGAACACCATCTCATTAGTAACAAATATTTTGTTTCCAGTTTTTTTAATTGCATTATTCCCATTTTTAGCTTACAAAGCTATTTATGATTATCTGCCAGTTTCTTGTAGATGTCACAGCACATAAAAATCTTGGACATAGACCTGAAACCTTCCAGTAGTATTCAAGGAAAGCATCTTTGCGTGGTGGTTTAACAGAAAATATTAAGATAGCAATGGGAAAAGCAGACCTAAACGGACACCAATAAGCACTTCTCAGGTCCTTGTAACTCTATCAGTGTTTGCCTCTAGCCCAGCATCTCACTTTTGAACATTCCTTGATTACAGAGAAAGAATGCAAGGAAATCAGCTATTTGATTATCTCCTCTTTTGTATCATTCCTTGTCCATCTCAGGCCTCTGCTTAAAAAGGCAAATAGCAACACTATATCCTCAAAGGCATAGAAATAAGAGCTGAAAAGCCATCTCTTACATCACTTAACATAGACCCTGCCAAGAAGAATTGCTCCCTACAGTACATTCATAAGTGTTTCCTACCATCCAGCTCTAAATGACTGAAGCGATCGGGCTTCCGTTGTGTCCCTGGGGAGGTTTCACCACAGCCTATTCAAGCATGCTGTTTGGAGAGCAAGAGACAGTGATTTCATTGTGTATCGCATCTCAGGGTTTCTACAGAGAGGTTGGCTCTGTGCTGCACCTGGAGCAACCTGAAACATTCTGATGATGCAGTGGTGAAATTTCCTGTTCACTTGTCATCATGAACCTGATGGGTAACACCACCGTGAGCCAAAGTGCAAGTGAGCCAAATTCCTAGTCAGCTCAGCTTGAATTAGATTTCATGCTAGGATATGACCCTCAAGTGAAAATGTCTTGCAACTCTACTTGGCTTCAATTCATATCCCTTGGAAGTCCATGGACAAGGGAGAAAGCTCTTTTAGTAAGCTCTTTGGGACAGTGACGTGTGTGTGTGCTGATTATCATCAATAAATAACAGTAATAATAATAACAAAAGTTGTCAGAAACCAATCTGTGCAGTTCTTCCAATAAATTAACATGATATATGTCTGAGGCCAGGGCCAGGAAATGGCCCTGATTACTCCCTGATTAGTGGAATTAGTGGGGTATTAGTTGTTTTCAATGGATTAATGAGCTATACATTGTGAAACAAGGCCTAATTTTGATCTAACTCTTCTCATCTGCTAGCATAACTCAGCTGACTCCTGTGGGGCTCTTCTAACATCAGTGTAGTGGAGCAACAGTACCTTTATTTGTAAGCCATGTTTGGTAGCATATACAGTGCCTGTAGCATTCCTTTCTGAGAAACACTATACATGTAAGTGGTGTGCTGGCACCAGAAATTACCACAGTGGTATAAAATATTTGAAACCACTAACTGGCTCAACTTTCTTCCTTGAGATTAATTACCATCTGAAAAAGTTCTATTTGTAATTTACGTAAGCTGCTACTCTTCCCAAACAGATAAAAAGAATCTTAGCTTAATAACATATTTTGTTAATATATTGGGGGGTTTTTGAGAAGTATCTTTGAGGATCTGGCTCAGTGAGAACATCTTACTGAGAGGTTATTTGCTTGTCCTTCTTCTGGGTACAAAACCAACCTCCCTGAACTTCTGATAATGGTTTCTAAAACATTTCTATAGTTCCAAGGGCAAAATGCTTAACATTTTAGGTACTCCTTCCTAGTGATGATGAAACACCAGCTGCAGTCTTCTGAAGTATATACTTTTCAGAAGTATATATTTTCAGAAGAGCTGAGCATTGGCAGAATTCTGCTTCCTGTGATGTAAATGAAGATTTCCTGCAAACTTCAACAGTAGCAGATAGAGTAAATGCGGAGCACAAAGTCTCACCCTCAGTGACTTGTTCCTACTGCAGCTAACTTTCAGGAAAACCAACATAATACAGCAAGTGTATAGGCTGTTTTCAAACTACTTTGCTCCTTTCATTTGTACATAGGATCTATAAATAAATTCAGGCGTTTTTGTTTCAATAAGCTCTATTCATAATGACACTATCCTTAAATAGCAGGAATTCACTATAGTAATATAATGAATTCTTTTCTGTGTGTTGTTTGCAAGTTGATTAAGTGCAATCACAGTGGCTTAGTTCAGAATTCTTTCTTTATGGAATACATTTAAAAATAAAACAAAACACAGTCACCCGTGAAGGACTTCATAAAATGTCCAGGCTGTGAAAGGCAGTCAGCAATCTGTGCAAGTCACGTTCAAAACCTTTGTTTGACAAACTTTCCCAGAAGATTGGCAAAATGTTAAATAGCAACTGTACATGGAATTAGAAAACGAACAAAATCAGTTGACCTGAGAAAGATCTGAACTTGCAGTTCTTCCCACAGCTAGCTGTATCATACAATTTTTTTTCAGAAACATTATGTTTGATAAAATCTCCCAGGCTCTGAATATTTACTGCTCAGTCATTTGTTGTCCTTTTTAATAAACAGGTCAGGGGAGGTATTTGTGAGCATGGCATATTTTTTTCCAAAATCATCAGGCAGCCAATATTTTTCAGCACAATAGCCTACTTGTCTTGGGCAACTTTTTCATTCTGAACAAGGGCATGAATGTTTCAAGATTAGAAAGACAAATGACTTATTTATGTTTATACCTGTTTTCACTGTACCATTTCTTTAAATACTCTTTCATTCCATTCATCTATCCTTACCTTCACTAGCTGTTGTAGATAGTCTGACTTCTGCATGAATTATTATAGTTTTATCACATAATATCAGACTCTGCGGGACCCACTACAATAAGACAACCTTAATGAACAGTTGTATGCTCACATCTCTTTGCAGGGTAATGCAGTCTGTCACCTATAGATACCTATATGACCCAGTGATCCACTGGAATGCAGCAGTGCCTGTGACATGCTGGTGGAGATGATAACACAAGAACAGGAAACATGGATGTGGCAGAAGACTGCAAACACTACTGGGTGTATTGGCTAATGTTGTGCAGGGATGTGATGTCAAAGCTAAGCGTTTAGGTATTCTTAATTACTTCCTCCTGGAACAAGGACTCAGGGAATTTTAGATAGAATGGTCAACTCTTTACTTTGCCCTGAGCAACATTGGACTTGATTCACAAATACTGTTATGGAACAGGCACTCCATAACAGGGACTAAAACTGGCTCAGATCCAACACTCCAGTAGAACCAATAAAACCACCCAATATCTATACCATTGTGCCTAAATTCAAAAGACAATCATGTAAAAATGTGTAAAAACATGTAGGGTTACATAAAAAAGGAAACTTCAAGTTTTTAAAGAGTAAAGTCTTTGCAGATGGCATGCAAATAATTTAGAGATAATTGTCATGGTTTTGGGTGGTATAGAGTTAATTTTCTTCCTGATAACTAGTACAGTGCTGTGTTTTGGTTTTAGGATGAAAATAATGTTGATAACACACTGATGTTTTAGTTGTTGCTGAGCAGTGCTTACACAGAGTCAAGGACTTTTCAGGTTCTCATACTGCCCTGCCAGCACAGAGGCTGAGGTTGCACAAGAAGTTGGGAGGGGACACAGCCAGGACAGCTGACCCCAATTAACCAAAGGGATATTCCCTACCATCTGTCATCATGCTCAGTATATAGAGTTTGGGGGAGCTGACTGGGGAGTGGCTGTTGCTACTCAGGGACTGGCTGGGTGTCAGTCGGCTGGCAGTGAGCAATTGTGCTGTGCATAACTTGTTTTGTACATTTTTTATCATTATTATTATTTTCCATTTCCCCTTTGTCTTATTAAACTGTTTTTATCTCAACCTAGGGGTTTTACCTTTTTTTCCAATTCTGTCCCGCATCCCACTGGGGGGAGTGAACAAATAGCTATGTGGTGCTTTGTTGCCTGCTGGGTTAAACCACAGCAATAGTGTATCAGAGGCACAGAGCAAATACATATCATGTCTTAAAAAAGATCATTAAAAGACCAGAAGAAAGCAATGGAAGGCAACAAATTGAAGAAAATCTCAGTGTGCTACGGTTGTGTCCAATTCAGGAAAATAACAAAGATCATGAGCTCTGGAAGGTTAAAAGGAGAATCTGTAGTGCAAGAGACTAATTATTTAGTCATAAAGGGCCAAACAATATCTGCTTTAAGAAGAGAGGTGCAAAATTACATTTCCACTACAGCAGCTTGGGAATGTTTCTACACTAGGATCCTTCTTTGCACAGGATGTAGCAGATTATTTGCTTCAAACTGGTGTTAAAATTATGTGAAATTGCAGGAATACCTTGTCATAATAACTAGTAGGTGGAATTCAACACAGATAAATGCAAACTCTACCCCTTAGACCTGTTAGGATAGGTTCTGAGTTACTGTTACCACCAAGGAATAAATTATTTGTCTTGTAATAAATAGATGTATGAAACCATCATCTCAGTGCTCAGTACTGTTCTACTGAGACCTTTTTTCTGTGTTTTGATCTTTTTATCTCAGAAAAGACACACAGGCAGTGCAGGGTGGCTTCAACATAAGACCCAAATAGTCTAGAAGCATTCTTATACCTGGAAAAGGAATGAGTGATGGCCTTCCAACAGACACCATGAAGGACACAGAGCCAGGGAAAATGATTGGAAGGCTGTTCTAGTGCAGAAACTAGAAGGTATCAAGTAAAGGCAGAGCTTCCAAAACAAATAAAAGGAAATAGTGTTTCACATTACACATAGTTGAGTCATGAATTTCCTCAACACAGGAGTCTGTAGGCAATCAAAGTTTATATAGGTTTGAAAACAACTGGACAAAGTTACTGAAGAAAATTCTCTCAAGGATTAGCTCAGTTTTTTAGAGCATGGTGCTAATAACACCAAGGTCATGGTTTTGATCTCCATATGGGTCATTCACTTAACAATTGGACTTGACAATCCTTATGGGTCCCTTTCAACTCAGAGTATTCTGTGATACATCTGTGATTCCATGATTATTAAATGTAATCACTGGAAGCTTGGAGAATATTGTGGGGATGTACCACTCCACACTCATTTGCTCTTATACTTTCCCTACACATCTTCTATTGATGATTGTTGAAGGCTAAATCCTGGGCAAGGCAGACTTTTGATTTGCTTTTATCCTTACTTTCTTATTGCTGTGTGCATAGATCTTCCCCCGTGCCACTGCTGGGACAGCAGTTTGGTTACGACAATTGCTTTTCAAGGCTCTCTCCCCTCAGTGCTCAAACTGAAGAATTTCCTTTGCCTGTTAACTACAGGCTGGAGTCTAAACACAGCTGAGAAGGGTGCTCACCCCTTCTTCCCCCTCTGCACTGCTGCTGTTTGACATGGCACACCTGTGTCATGGAGGAGATTTGGATAATGAATAGTGTAGGGAAGGAGCATCCATTTTTCAGTAGCTTAATACAGAGAGAGACCAAGATTAATGCAACCAGATACAAATGTTGCCTTGGGGATGTAGAAAGCTTATATAGATGGTGATATAATGTTGATATAGTGATCTCTATAGCGTGAGTAGTATTTTACACAACTATTGTTTTATGACTAAAACCAGATTTTCATTAATTCATTTTTTATGTTTAAAAAGCTCCTTGGGGAACACTGTGAAGCAAATAAATGTGCTTTTTCAACCTATTGTGATATCTGAGATTATAAAGCTGTTGTCACTGGATTTTTCTAAATGTGCTTCTTTTTCACTCAGATGGGAAAGAGGTTCAGTTACTGAGCCTCAGTCAGCTTTTCACTGTCATGCCAAAGTGAAAGGCTGGGTGTTAAGCCAAAACATCAGCCCCGTATTAAAATACCTGAACCAAATGTTGGAAGCATTGAGATTCCACTTGCAAGCCTCGGGAATCAGAAGGCGGAGAGCAGAGTCCCTGCACAAGCATCAACCCTTGCTCTCCTGTGCAGAAGGAGGTCAGTTCCTGTCACGTAGACAGACACACACTTGTTCCCTGGGCTAGGGAAAGCACGTGGCAGGAAAGTGATACAAGCTGTGCAATCCATATGGTCAGAGAGGCAAAACACAGAGAAGGGATGGCCCTGAGTAGAGTGACCAGATGTAAGTTTATATTTCCTTTCTAGTCTAAGGGAATTGAGAATTTTTTTGTATGTGTTGCTTTTCTCACAAAGATTATGGATTACAGTGTAAAATTTGCTGTCTTCTATTTCTTTTGCAACCTGCACCTTTCAATTATTCAAGACTAAACTGTCACCAGAATATTGGTACTTGAGTATAGATTTTTTGTTACATGGGTTTACAGCTTCTAGGGTTATGAGGTCTTTTCATAAAGGAAACAGTAGTACAAATAACACTAGAACTATAGGTAGAAAAATTAATTATAAAACAGATTAATAATTAAATAATTATCTGAATTAATTCTGTAGTGATTAATGTGATTATGTGGGAAAAATGCCATATTGGAAATATAGTACTATATGTTAAATGAGGTAATGATAGTAAGGGGACTGTGCTGTAAGGAGACTGAATATCTTAAATTGAACACTTACAGTGATGTTACACTTGGGTTGAAAAGTAATTGTAGGTTAGGAATAAAATATCTGTTATTTTTTCATTCAAGGAATTCACAAGAGGGATAGGCAGCAATGAAGACATTTCAATGCAAGTCGAGTTTCTGTAAAAGAAGTGATATTACTTTACTTGATTTACAAACACCGTCATTTAATATTCTATGACATCCAGTATTAACAGATTGGCCTCGACCACAGTAACCAGCTCAATTGCAAAAGGCTTCTGCTATGTATAATTTTAATGGTACAGAAACTGCTGTTCTCAGCAGGCAAACTGAAGACCAGAGCATGGAAGAGGAATGATACAGCCCAGGTGATCATAGCTAATAATGAAAACATTTGACTTCAACCAAAGTTTTAAGGGAAGAATCTTTCTGTCAGTACAAATAGCAGTGATGCAAATGGACCACATTTAAAAATTCTTACTACAGAAAATTATTTTGATGCATTCATGTACATCTACCAGTTCTGCTATGAAAAGTCTTAGATATACATATCTAAAAAACAGAGAACACAGTTCCCCTTCAACAACACAGCGAAATAAACACAGATCAGAATTTAGACCTGCTTAGGCCTAAAGAAGGTAGGAAGTTGATTCTGTGATGGACAAAGCACTTTACAATCTTTTTCCTCTCCTAAAAATGTGATAGTGAGCACTGCAGAGCACACTTAGCATGCATGTTGTCAGCATGGTAACACCAGGACAGACAAATAAAAACCACAGTACCTCATTTGTCTTGTCTCTGCCAGTGTGTGCACCCAGAGCTCTGTAAGAACCAAGGCTTTTGCTGCACTGACAGATATTAGCTTTACTGAAGTTCTTGTGTTGTGGAAAGAGTACCAGTTAAAGCTTTGGGGATAGGTTTCTCTCTTTTTTGGGGGGAGCTTGAGGACATAATATATTGAACTGGAATAAAAATGAAAATAAAATGTTGCAAACATTTTCCGTGGCATGTCAGTGGAAAGTTGCTGAGCTGGTTTTACTCTGCAAAAATTATTTTGATTTTCCTGAGAAGGAGAAAAGTATTTTTCTGTTATGGAGAGCTGTGACTGTTTTAAAGCATACCTCCAAAAGCCTACCCATTTACAATGCAACCCAGACCACCTCCTACACATCACAGGGAGAACAGACAAGTATTCATTCTTCTTGAACTTGCTTAAAGTAGATGAAATGGTACAATTCCATGAAGCTTTTTTTTTTTTTTAAATTTGTATCAGATCAAAAAATAGACCTAGACCTTTCTTTAAATGGATTTGTGTGTCAGCTTCTAACTTTCAGCAGTGATGTTGGTGGCAAAGAAGTTTAGAAAATTGAAAAAGCAGTAGGTGAACA